AATGTGTTTTGCCAGCTTAAAACATGGCAGCATGTTTAATCAGCTGCGCCAATGCTGGCTCTATAATTTGAAATAGTTATCATACGGAGTACAATATCTAGTATATAGAAGTCTATATTAAATTATCACATAACAATAATTCTGCGTTTCGCACAATATGTAACGAGAAAATCGGGGACACTACTCAAATGTATTGTTTAATAACCAAGGTCGCAACTCTAAAGTCGCTTCTTACATTTTCGTATATTTTCATGGGACCCAATTCGTATGTAGTCCAAAATACAATAGACAGTTACTGTCATTCTTATAATATATAATAATTACTGAATAATATTTTTAAATATTTTATTTTAAGAATTTCAAACAAGCAAGCAAGTTATAATATAATGTGTATACTGCATACTTCACGCAAGTGTTAAATACCTACATATTATTCCTGTGAATTTTTTTGTTTTCTTTCTTAAATACCTATTAACTCAAGTGTAAGAATAAAGTTGGTGTTCAGTTATTTTAAACATTATTTATTAGGAACTCCAGAATAAGAACCACGCATTGAGGCATCTATGGCGTATCATTGTCCTCTCGTGTTTTCAGTATTTAAGTCCAAAGAATCCAAATAACTTTTTAATAAATATGAATGGGTTTCACCATCCATTTTGTCTGCTTTATAAAAACCAATGTATTATAATTTTGATGATTTTAGAATATCTATTATCCCCCACTGATGTAAAATGTATACCATTGTATCTGCAGACAGCACGTGAAACTTTTTTGATTGATAAGTTTTTATAGCAACATAATTATTGTTCAATAGTTGTAAGTTATTGTGAAATAAAGTAATAATAAAATGTTATATATTATTCTTTGGGATCTACTAATGCACTAAAATCAGTGTTTGCTATGGTTAAGGATCTTTTTAATATTAATCACCAATACAAATCTCTGTAAACTTATAAATACTCTCGACATTATTTAGAAGTTCTCTTTTTTTAAATCTTCCAAAGACTTGGTAACAACAATAATCCTAAATTAGAACCATAGAATTAGATGTCTTAGATAAATTAAAATGTATGGTTTTTAATAAGCCCCATCTGTTTATCAACTTAATTTAATTTAAGAATCAATAATTTTATGTTTTATTTTATTTGAATTTATGTCACCAAATAAGTATATTTTTGTAAATTAATAATATATGAATAAACAAAAAACTGTAATTTGTATTGTTAATTTTATTAAAAATAATATAAATATAAGTATTATACTTGGTTCATATTAATTTTTTCTTTTTAAAAATATTATTTTATTTTACCATGTAAAACTGTAGTTCTGACTTAAAACTAATGCTTTCTGTATTAAATGTAATGTTTGGCCAACTGAAAACATCTGGGCAGTTTACTCAGCTGCAGCAATACTGACTTTATAGTTTTCAATGGTTATTATACGGATTACATTATCTAGTATTATATAAAAGTCTGTACAAAATTATCACATAACAATATATACATTTTTTCAAGGGGATCCCATACCTGCACCCGACAACTACTACTCATTACAATCATATATTACGAAATATATAAATGTTGTTCTTGTACATATTGTATCCTTTGATAAAACTACCAAATAGTGTAAGTCTCAAATCTATGACTTATCAGATGTTTGTAATGTATCGTTTTGACCTATTTATAGACGTTTAAAAATTGTTTAAGCATTTTTTCTATAAACGTCAATAAAACATTTTTCCTCCCTTTAAAAAGCTTGAAAATGTAATACGAGATCCCTCATAAAATGGTATGATAACTAAACTACTAAACAGTTAGAAACAGTTAAAAATTAAACTTACACAGACGCTATATTTTTTATAAGCATTAAATTTTTAAAATTTGACGAAATCTCGAATATTTATATATTATTTTGAAGTTACAAATGTATGAACAATTGAACATCATCCATTACAGTTAGTCACACAAACTCAACCATTTTATTGGATCGCTTGCATAGTTTCTCGTACGAAATTTTTTTTTTTATTTAAAAAAAATATTTACAATCTATACGATACAAAGGTATAATGAGTAAGTGTGTTGGCATACATAAATTGACATAATAATATAAAAGGAAGGCTCCCAGCAGTGCCACCTGACCCGTAACTTAATATTTTTATTTTCTAGTTAGTTAGTAATTTTTTTTTAAAGCATTGAGCATAGGTATCTTGGCCATTTTCTTTTTGACCTTCTAAGAATGAGTGAGGTAGTGGATAGATTTTCAATTAGTAGATTTGAATGAGCGCGAAGTTTTGAGTGGAGTTTTATGTAATGGGATTTAGCTAAGTCGTTGAGAGTTGGAATATTGAGGTCTTTGTGGAGGTTTTTGCTGGTTACAACCAAGGGGCAGAGGCTATTAAGTGTAAACATATGGATTGGAAAGCTTGCAAGGTTGTGGTTTTTGATGGCTTTGCTGATCCCCATAGTAGGATGCCGTAAAGCCAAGGCGGACGAATTATCGATTTGTACATCGTAAGTTTGTTTGCTAGAAAAAGTTTCGATTTTAATAGGGTTCTCAAGTGATGTAGTCTCGAGTTCACAGATTTACGTTTTTGTTTTAGATACAAGCTCCAGTCAAGGCGTTTGTCAAATATTAACCCTAGGTACTTTACTTTGTCTGATGAAGGAATGACTTTGTTATTAAACGTGACAGGTAGGCAATCAGAATTACGTAATATAAAAGTTACATGAGTTGACTTGTTTTCATTGATTTTTATTTTCCACTGTGTTGTCCATAAGTTAATCACATTTAGGTGACTTTGGATCATCCGACAAGCAGTTCAGGAGTCCTGATATGTTGCTGAAATTAGAGTATCATCGGCATTGGTACGAAAAATTAAAAAAAAAATATATTAATCTTTCTATGCGCCTCAGTATGACTGGTATAAATACTTAATAGTAAAAAATATTATTGTTGAGAAACAGTAATTATAAGTCAATTTCAACATTATTAATGAATTAACATTACTTTCTTAATCCGTCATCATTATATTTTTAAATATTTTTTAAGAGAATTTTTTATTTATTCTTCGTTTTTGTGCATTGATTGGGAAATTATATTATATATATTTCAATATATAGATGTAGTATAATACTTCTACGATTTAGAATACTAAACTGTAACATGTTTAATAGTTATACGTTTTATCTAATCAATAATCATATATTCAATAATAGGTAATAATACCAAATCAATAAGCATCTAACATACAACTGTTTGTGGTAATTTTAGATTTATATTGCTTTTTTGCCTCATTTACCTATAATGGTTTCCTATACTTTCTTAGCATGAATATGAGTTGTTATTTCGTATTCGCTGTTATTGTATCAGTAAGCAGCGGTATAGTGTATTCGTGTTCAATATTTTTAATTTGTATGTAACATTTTTTTTCCGTACATGTGTCTCTAACTTCTTATGCCTATGAACTGTAGTTTTTATCTGGTTAAGTTGGTTGTAGAACGACTAACATACTGCGATGAACCTAAAAAACGAATAACAGTTGTTAAGTTTTTATTTTTTTGTTTCATGTATATAAAACCTGAGTCAGTAACTAGTATGAAAAAAAACGGCGAGTAGGCTGTATAGAACATATAGATGTTTTAAACAGATGTATAATCGTAATACTATGTGACCTAGAAAAATATGACAAAACAAAAATAAGTTTCCAGAAGATTTTTGACTATGTTTATGTATAAAAATGCGTTTTATAGTTTAATAGAAAGAATGACTGATTTGAATTTATATTTTATACCAAATATAATTTCTGCAGAAATTTTAGCTAGTCACAAGCTAAACAATCAGCTGTTTCAGATAATTTACACAGTAAGTTACCATACAATAATTGTTTGAAGCCAGTTAGAGACCAATAGACTATTGAATAGAGACATTGAGTAATTGAAAAGGATCGAAGGAAAATATTTTGATCATTAAACAGTAACGAAACAATCAGTTATAAATCAGGGCGCAACCCGTACAATACGTCACGAGAAAGTCCTGAAAGCTACTTAAATGTGTTGCGTAAAAACCAAGAAGCGAATTTGAAATTTGAGACGTACATTTTCGTATTTCTAGGGACACTATTCCTATGCAGCTCACAACACAATACAACGCTACCACGCAGCCAGTAACTGTCATTATTCTAATATATAATAGTAACTGCATAATATTTTATGATATTTTATTTTAATAATTTTAATTTATCTACTACAGGTATTCATAATGCTTTAATACAAAATACAAATTAACTAAATTTATCACTAGTATTATATAAGTACACATACGTATATTTATTGAATTTGAATAAAGCATTAGTTTAGAAAATATGTAAAATTATGCAAGCTAGTAAAAAAATATGTGTAGTAAATAATTCAGGTATGTGTTAAATCCCTATACATTATTCCTGTTTATTTTTTTATTATTTCTTAAATTTATATTAGTTCAAGTGTAAAAATAAAAAACAGTGTTCAATAGTTTTTTTTTTTTTTGGTTGTTTGGTTTTACTAAATAAATACTTTACTTTGAACATTATTTAGGACGAGGTATTCGGTTATAAAAGAGGCCCGGCAAGCATTATTTCTTTAATTTTATTGTTTAACGTTCATATTAGTTTTATTATTACTTATATTTAATTAAAATGATTTCTTTTAAAGTTTATTTCGTAACGATTGCAGTTATAGTCAATTCGATTTGGGATGTGCAAGCTCCTAATGGTCTTAGTGGTGCAAGTAGTAGTGGTGGTTGGAGTTCAGTAGATGCTTCACTTTCTGCAGGTGTATTTCCCGATGACGGTTTCTATACTTTTATTGATTACCTATATTATATGTTATTGAGTAATTGTAAAAAATTTTAGAATTATCTTTAAAAGATTGAAATAAATTTTAACAATTACTGTTTATGCCTTTTTAAAGTATTTATAACTATAGAGAAAAATAAAATATTATTCATCACTTAAGTTGTTAACACGTTGACCGCCACGGCGTTTTTCACTTTGTTACTTAAATTTGCTACGAGATCAAATTCTAAATCTCAACAAATTACTAAAAGTTGGTTGTGAGATCTTATGTTGAATCTCACTTATACAAATTTTCTATCGATGAGAACTCGTGTTAGGTCTCAATAATCGGTATTTTCTCGTCGGATTCTAATTCTACAGTGTTGCCACTTTCAGATGGTGTTTGTAGCTTGACAATACCATATTTAGTTTTTTTTATCAATATTTTAAAATCATTGATAATGCAACGTTTGATACGTTGTTATTGGTAACTAAACGTATAAACTTTTTACTTTATTTATCTGATTATCAAAATTGAATGTTTAATGTGTTTTTGCCGTTAAGGTAACGGATTTATGAAGTTTTTTTTATGTAATTTGTGACAAATAAACAAAATGAATGACGAGAGTATAACTGAAATGTTAGAATCTTCATTTGAATCATTTGACTATAGTTCAGACGATTGTGACAATGACCCCAATTGGGATCAAAATGCTGAAAACATGTCTACAAGTAAGTTATTTCACCTGCAGCTTAATGTACTTTGATCTAACTTACATATGATTTTTAAATGTTTCGAATAGGTAGTACTTCTAGTAAACAAAATTTCAATGATGATGTCAGACATGTGAACATGTCTATAGATGGTAATATATTTTGCTTGAAATTGTCTATTTTCTATTTATAATTAATAATAAAATACATTTTAGAAATTGAATTATCTGGAGTAGATGCAATTGCTTACAGTGATGAAAATGATGATCCAAATTTTGGTAAATAATAAACAAAAATGTGCATTATTAAAAAAAAAATGTTTAAAATTATTTTTTTTATATTAGATTTGGTATCTCATATAAGTGCTTCATCTGATAATGGTTCTACTACAAATTATCCTGGACCAGGACGTCCAAGGATTCATCCTAAGGTAAATGTCAATGATCGTCGTCAATGGAGAGCAGACGACAATGTTATTGACGATTTTATTTTTGATGCTGATAAGACAAATTCAGGTATAAATCCAGATTTATTTGACACTCTTATGCATGGATCACCGCTTGATTTTTATTTGCTTATTGTGAATGATGAAATAATAAATAAAATAGTTATTGAAACAAATAGATTCGCTGCACAGCAAAAAGCTTCTAAGATAAATTCACCTTTCTCTCGTATTAATAAATGGTTTGATACAGATATAAAAGAAATAAAACAATTATTTGGGCTTTTGATTTGGACTGGCTTAGTTGTGTTGCCAACATATGAACTGTATTGGAGTTGTTCTGAAATATTTGCTACTAATTTCGGGTCTGTAATGAGCCGAAATCGCTTTGAAATACTAATGCAAATGCTACATTTTTCGGATAATGCTAATGCTGATACAACAAATCGCTTACACAAACTCGGTACCGTTATGGATGATATTATGTCTAATTCTAATTATTGTATGCAGCCAGTAGACAAATTATGTATTGATGAATCTCTTGTCAAATTTATGGGTAGGCTGTCTTTTAAACAATACATCAAAAATAAGAGAGATAGATTTGGAATAAAAGAATTTAAATTATGTATTCCTCCGTGTTACACAATTGCTCTGAAAGTTTATGCTGGAAAAGAAGCTGTTGTTGATGAAAGTGTTGGGACAAAAATTGTTATGACACTAGGAGATCCTTATTTTGACTGTGGAAGAACATTATATGTGGACAATTGGTACTCAAGTGTTGAACTAGCCGAAAAATTAAAAATAAGACAAACACATTTAGTAGGTACAATAAGATCAAACAGAAAATCCAATCCTAAAGAAGTAATAAAAAAAAAGTTAAAAAGAGGAGAGTTTGATTCAATGAGGAGTGACACAAATGTTTTAATATTAAAATGGAAGGATAAAAGAGACTTATATATGATATCCACAAAACATAACAGTGAAATGGTTGAAGAACGTGTAAGGGGTAAAATTGTTAAGAAGCCTAAGGTTGTGATTGACTACAATATAGGAAAGACATCAATTGATCTTTCTGATCAAATGAGTTCTTACTCAAACCCTCTAAGGCGTAGTTTGAAGTGGTACAGAAAAGTAGCTTTAGATGGGCTATTAAATATAGCTGTAGTCAATTCTTTAGTATTATTTAATAAAGTTACATGTTCAAATATGTCGATAACTAATTTCCGTACTTCTCTAGTTGAACAATTAACCAAAAAAGAAAACATTGTCATAAATCCATCTCTCAAACATCAACTACAAAAAACAGGTAAAAGCAGATGTTTCATGTGTTATTCACTAATGTCTTCAGAAAAAGGTAGAAAGTATGCTCAGTCTCATAGTACTAAAGTACAGACTAAATGTCTGGCATGTGATAGATATTATTGTATATTATGTTTTATCAAAGACCACAAAATCACAAAATGATAAAGAATAGTGGTCAACAAATTATAAGCAGTGACACATTATTTACATTGTATCTATACATTTTAANTTGACGATTTTATTTTTGATGCTGATAAGACAAATTCAGGTATAAATCCAGATTTATTTGACACTCTTATGCATGGATCACCGCTTGATTTTTATTAATTATTATTTACCTATATAAATATATTTTATATTTATTATGCTATAAAAAAAAATACCTATTACTATAATTAAACTGTTTTTGTTATATTTTTATTAATAGTAAGTAATTTGTTGTAACTTATGTTTTTTCATTATTAATGTACATGTGGTTTTTGAATATTATTTTATACTTTAAATAAAAAGTTTTCAAGTTATGTTTTTTGTTTGTAATATCATTTTTATCATAAAAAAGTTACATTTATGCTTTTTATTTTGCAGTTTATAGGATAAAAGCCTACTACCAGAGATTGTTTTCATATTATTATATTGTTCCTTATTGTTCAAATAATGTATTATTTTATAAAATAAATAAATATTTATTTGAGATTTAATGTTAAGTCTCAATTATAGTGATTTTTCATAATGAGATTTAGTTTGAGATCTCAGGCTAATGGTCAAAACATTAATTTTTCAAATGGTGACATCCTACGGCCATGAGATCTAATTTGAGATCTCGGCTTATATTAAGTTATAACATAAAAAAATGTTTTAGGAAAACAATTATGAATATAAGTACAAGTTTTGAATAAAATCAGACAATGTTTTATCCAAAAAAAAATTTGAGTAAACCTATGAAAAACCCCGTGGCGGTGAGGACAAAGTTTGGTGAGATCTCGTACAAGAGCTCATGGCGGTCAACGTGTTAACAGGATTATTCACCAAATATGTTGACCCCCTCTTTTCTTTAATAATGCATTTATTTAAAATTTGAATTTCAAATTTTTTAAATAAAGATAAAAACCATATTTTCAAATTCTTGAGAAGTTTTGCACTGCTTAAAGAATGGCATGTGAAGATACAAACATCTGTTTTACGAATGAGAAACGCAATTTTTCATCCGTTTTCTTCAAAATTCGAAGTATCGAATTCAAAATTCATATGTGTAGTTTCTTAGTTAATTAACTTTGTGTCCCGAGGATAAAAGTTAAAAGGTCCAAAGAGGCTATGGTGCTTTTAAAATATTAGTCATTACCTACTCATTATAATTTATCTATCAACATTAATAATTTGTAAAAATGGCCAAATTATAGTCAATTCTTGTTTCAATATCACGCCTATTTTATATTTTTGTAAAACCGTTTTTAATTATTTTTATCTAATTACATCAACATTTTCAAAAAAATTATCCACTAAATAATTTACAGTTCAAAGCTAGGGAGTTTTTCATTTGAAGAACAGAGGTTTATACCACCACAGGACACTCCTCAAATAGAACAGAAAATTCAAGAATTTGAAAAAATCATGTTTGAATATATTTAAAAATTCCGATAATCAGAATCCGAATGAATACATTACTAAAGGATAATATTTTGGTGACCATGCTTGGTGAATCATCTTGTATACAATATTAATGTAGGTATTCAAAATGTTATAATCAAAGATTTTTTATGCAATCGATATTTTTTTGATTTTTATAAAATATTTTATCTTCTGTACTTACGTCGAATATGTATAAACTAATTCTAGTATATCCAGCTGAAGTTTACTAAAAGTTATGACTTATAAGTGTTATAACTCTTACAATTATTGTTTTTAGAGCCTATTATTATGTGAAAATGATTAGATTTTAATTTACTGTAAATAGAAAAAGAGGTTTACTAATAATAATGTATTTTTTTTTTTTTAGTTGAAGAGTACTGCATAAGTAATATCTTTGACCAATTTTTAGTAGACAAATAATATTTTTAAATATTCACGATATAAAGTATCATTATAAAAACTAAAACATTGATAAATGTATTGACTACTCTAGCGATTCTCAACCGGGGGGTCGCAACCCCTCTCGGGGTCGCCAACAATTATTTTGGGGTCGTCAATCCATGTGGGAAAGAAATTGTTTCACTTAGAATCTTATAATTAATAGTAAGTATTATAATATATATATATATATTTGGATAGTCCGGTAGTCGATAAAAACGTTCATTGAAGTGTACATAATATACCTTTTTTTGTGAAATATATATACACAAATAAATACAATAAGAACAGTTGGTTCAATTTTTTAATGCTTACATTATAAAAGGTTCGTTGGACATCTTGGTGACATTACAGGGGGTTGCGAACTCAAAAAGGTTGAGAATCGCTGGACTACTCAAATGACTAGGTATTCTTAAATGATGACTGAGCTTAAGGCGATTCTATACCGTAATTTTCTATCTCCAACCCCAAAATTCTTAAAAACGTTATTTCCATTAAAAAGAGTAACTAAACAGTTTCTATAATTTAATTTTTATGGAAGTTCAAAAAAAAATAAATAATGTATAGGAAATTCGATCTGAAGTAGAATTGACGATAAATTCAAATCTATTTTTAGAATTCTTATCGCTTCACTATATCAATGGGTGCGTTTGTAAAGGACACGACTAACATCATGTGACGCTCAAGTATTCGACCAAGACGGATAATCATGGTATCGAATCTCCTTGATGACCGTTTTGCTTATTTTTGACTGACGATAATTTCAATATAAACTTAGACTTTTTGTTTTCAACAGGATTTCTAAGAGAATGTACTTTATATACTAGTAAGTTAATTGAAATTAACAGAAAGTTATTTTATTATAAATACATATTTTATTTAAAGAAAACGTAATATTTAGACGTAATTATAATCATTGATTTGTATTTTCTTAAGAGGACGTTACACGGAAATTTGTTGTCTCCTTCTTCCAAGTGCATAACATGGCCATTTTGAAGCTCAGTAGGTCACATTTATCTTCGTTAGCTTAAAAACTTACGTGTCAGCTGTTATGGACCGAATTTGTTCGTTAGTAATAAATACGAGGTGTTTGAGTTACCACTAATACTTTATTAATATAATCAATTTTAAAAGAAATTTAGTTGCACAGAATAATTATTAGGCTTAAGAAAATAACAGATGCTCTGCTCGATGGTCTGCCAGTACTACACTGAATATTACACAGACAGCGAGACACGGTAGGGGCTCGCTCAGGCTCAAAACTGTCCACACAGCGAATTCCCTAAGACCGTGTGACTGGTGACTCTGTCTGTTCACATATTAATATGCTTACGCACTATACTTATTATACTATAACTATATCTTATACTGCGTATAGCACACAGACCGGGGTTCACAACACAACCCACTTAAAATTGTACATCTTAAAATACTCATAACTCGCTTGAAAATAAAATATGATAAAAATTCTATGAGATTCTCTAGATAAATATCTTAGCTTTAAATGTTATAATAAGTCAATTCACTCTAGTTTATAAACTTTTGGGGATAAACGTGATCTGCTGAGCGTAACATTTTCTATATTACTAACTTGTAAGGATTGGGACAACAATTAATGTCTCACAGCTAAAACCAAATCCCTGACTAGACATTTCAACAAACTAAAATATCAATAAGTAATGTTTGATTGATGTCTATCTTTCGAACACCCACTGCGCCCACTGTAAATGAGTACAACAATATGCAATAAATGATGCGAATGGTAGTCTTTTTATTAATAAATTACAAAATATAACTACTTCTATTGCCTACTAGTGCATTAAACTTATCGTGTGCAATAAGTTACTAAACAAATAAAACTGGCTCGTATAAAAACATTCTAGTTCAATGATAGTGTTATTAAATTTCAGATGATATCACAAGTGATAAAAAAATACACCCGGATCGAATTGGTAATTATTCAAAAAAACTTTCATTTTTAATTATCAAATTTCGTGACTGTACACAATCATTTTAATAAAATATACCCCCAAATTAAATTTCATATTCTGTATATTTTATAATTCTGCAATAAAATGGCATTAATAATTAATGTAACAAATACTTAGATTTAATATTAAAGAAAACGCTTTTAAATTATAACTATTATTACTATATGAATCTAAAACATTTAAATGATTGCATACTTAAGTATTACAATATTTAATAAAAATCTGCAGTTCTATATCATGCAAAATAATTTTATTAATTTGAAAACAAATTGTATCTGCCTATTTATTATTGTAATTTATTCATTCTTTTTATTTTTAGAATACTTAGATAATGGTACGGATTTTCATTGTTTTTTTTTTCGTTAACGAAGTTGTAATAATTAATTCATACAATTTGCTGTAGTGCTAAAACAGTTGACAGATTATTGTATTTTGAATTGTCTATAATAAGGCACGTCATTAATTACTACACCTATCATAAGCTATAATAAATCGATTAAAAAATGATATATCACATAAGCACAATATAAACATTACCCACCTGACAAATGTCGGAAAAAGTCATTGATAAGGACTAGTAGGCCATCTAGTAGTTTTATATATTATCTATGTGTTCACCATACTAGAATTTTCTAGACAAAAAGTTTCAATTCGTGATAATTACCATTATGTTAATAATATATGAATATTACTATGAATAATTTATTATATGTAAATTATATAATGATTTATAAATACTAAATTGATCATCATTGTTGAGGCTCGAACGCAATTTAGCCACCTACCGACCCGCACATCAAACACACAACATATTAATATATACATACCGTTACTCTATGATATTTCTTGTGTATGTGTGTATGCTGTGTCTAGATAATATGGAGAGATGGTTAGGTACAATGTCAAGATCAAATATGTTTGAGTATCGGAACACTTAATGATTTAACCATTTATATAACTCAACGTCGCACAATACAATATAATTTATACAACTCTTTTATCCAAAATAGATCTTACATAGATAAACTTTATGATAAATATTGCATTAAAATGTATAAAATAAAACAAATTGGAAATAGTTTTCCTGTTCACCACACAAGAATTTCCAATGGAAGATTATTTACAACAATGTATTCATAAATTTGAAAAAAAAATATATATAATATGTATACATGTTTATATTTATTTGTACAGTTTCAGATGTGTACTGTAAGTACAATACACTTTATACTATAATTTATTATAACACAAGAGGTATTTATTGTATTAGGTATAATATTTATAGTAATTTTACTATGTCTAATGTTCATATTATATATAGTTTTATAGTTTCATTTTAATTACATTATTACTATAACTTAGTATTGTATATAGTTGATTAAATTGTCTATTGTTTTGTAAAATATGTTTAGTATTTTAAATGTAATCAAAAAAATGGTTTTGTATTATTTAGTAGTTATACCATATATCAATACATATAAAATGATTTTGTTAAGCACAATTAGGTATCTTCACATTATATCTTTTAAATTGCAAGAGTGCAAAAAATAATATTATGAACAATTAATTATCAAATTATAAATTAAATATTGATTATTATACTCAAATTAAAATTGAATATTGGCTTACTATTCAATAAAAATAGTTTGTATAACTAGGTACCGTTATAAATAATTAAACTTTAATACTTCAATGTATAGCTATGTTGCTTACTACTAGGCATAGGTCAGGCAACTAAGTGTCATAGTGAAGAAGTATTATTGTAGTTAATTTCACCTGTGTTAATTGTGGTCACCACTCTATATTTTATTTTTATATTAGGTACTCTAACATTATGAAATAAATAAATTCAAAAGTACAGATTAATATAAAATTATATTTAAATTACCGTACATATTGTTCAAATAATTAGATTATAAAGTAAAGATTATTAAAAATGTATGGTATAAAACTCTATAATTTGTGTCTTGATAACTATAAAATCATTTCTACATAATATTTTCAATAAATCTTACTAACATTATAGCTTATCACTGGACTTAAATAATATTTTTTATTACCTTAAGACAACAAATAGTACATACTCGTAGGTGTTAGGTACACAGTTTTTTAACAGATATTTTAAGTTCAAATTTGGACGAAATTAGATATTTAAATGGAGTATAATGATTTTTATTAGTTTGTTGTAATTTAAAAATATTATTCATGGGTAGGTAGGTACCTACTGACACTTTTATACTATATTATTAGATTTTAATATTTGATAGACATAATTATATTGGCAATCACAATGATTTCTGGAAAAAATCAATTCAACCTACTGTATTACTAACTCGTAAGCGACAGAGACGCAAGTCCGTGACACATGTTTGTCCCTAATCCTACTCAGCCATGTAAGACTTGATATTATTTTCATTTTAAACACTAAATGATAAAAGTTTTGTATTACACGTAGGTTTTATTTTGAACGCCATCTCTGAAACTATGACATATTTATTACAATTAAATTATACAACAATTTGTAAATACCTTATTGATTGTTATTAATATTACAATAGTTTTTAGCCTATAGTTGTATCTAAATTTTAGTATAATCTTTATTAAATATTTTTATTAACTAACTATTATTTCTAACTTTTTATAGTTTATAACAGTAAGTTATATCTCCATAGACCATAATTTTCCTATATTTTTAGTTTTATTTTTATTAATATTCACTGAAAAAACACATTTGCTTTTTATTTAGATTTACTTGCACTTATATTGGGTATGTAACAATAACCTTGTGTTTTTTTAGTATTGTGAATTTTCGTAGGTAGTATTTACTATACTATAACTTTGAGTGATACTTTTCTTCGAGGTTGGTCATTAACGAGTGGTGAAATTATACTGAAGTTTCATAATATTAAAAAAAAAAATAAAGATCTTCAGAAACATTAGAGTATACGTAGTTCGTAAATTCTTTCTTTAAGTATAAGTTGTTATTTTCCAAGTAGATCGAGTTCAAAATGAAAATGAAATTGTTTTATTTTTAATATTTAAATATCTATTTTTCGATGGAAAATAACTAAGGTTCTAAGGGCCAGCGTATTTAAACTGTGATCCGCGAAAGCTTAAGTGCTATTTGTCAAAATGCTCAAGAAAATAATTTTAGGAAATCTAAAGAGGGCTGGTGAAAAAAAATATCATGCATGTTGCAAGAAACAGGGGGGCTGAAGTGAAACTTTTTTTCGCGGTCAATTGACGTGATGTTTATTATAATCAGAAAAAGAAAAAAAAATTTTTAATTGAAATTAATATTGTACAGAGATATACTTAATATAAGTGAAATTGATTATTATGCATACTTGAAGGATCACGGTAACTGGTAGGTAAAATCCGATTATATGATTCGACGCTGCCCAGTAAGCCACGCCCATAACACTATTGGTCGCAACAGCAAAACCCATAAATCCATATTTCTCTAAAGTACCTAAAAAAGTTTCAATTCAAATAAATGTTTGTACATTAGAAAAAACTTTTTCTATTTTAAATAATAATGTTGAAGATAAAACTACCCTGTATATAAAATAATATAATTATTATTTTTCAGACTCCTTCAGTAAGTACCAATATTTTTATTGTCCCCTCTTCTTCAATGACCATATGACAAATCGATCATTAGTTACAAATTTACAATGCACATCGTGTTTGTAATTGGTTAAGTTCTTGTTTATTTCAAACACAGTTTACATTTTTAAAACTCAAAATGTCATACGCACAACAAACAATTCTACTATTTAATTAAGCTCGACGTTGATTAATAAACACATAATATCATAGTTTATCGTTTTCAAATGCTTTTACTAACGACATCTGTTGTTTTGAATCAACATTGTATTTCATTAATTATAACATCAATGTGTTGACAGATTGATTTGTTGACTCCCTGTTAATCCAAGACATTAATAAGAACTTGAAAAATTTAAAATTCAATACATTTAAAAATTATATGGTTATTCATAACTTTTTCGTTTGAGAATTGACAAACTTTTTTAGTATATATGAGTCCTGACTAATGAGTTTTAAACACACTGCTTTGGTTTTGAAGGTATAAATCAGTATAATTGCTCTTAGCATCTTGAACAATTTTTAACGCTCATCTCAGATAATATTATTAGTATGAATGTATAGTCTTTAAGACTCATATATAAAAATACTCACTAGAGTTCTCACAACTTTGACAAATGAAAAAACGAATAACGTGTGACGTTCATATCTTCACAATTTTTTTACATTATAAATGTATAACTTATGTCAGGTTTATATTATTCATTTCTTATCTACAAGTACTGTTGTACGTATTCGTTATCGTTTTGACTTTTTCTCTTGGGCAATGTTTATTTGTTTATTTCAAAGTTGTTGAGATTAATCTCATTAACTGAAAATAAATGTAAATTACATTATGGAAAACGAATGTTATAGTTCAATAAAAAACAAGGAGTAGCCAACTTCTATAAAAATAATCTCCAATTGAATGTTTTGAAATCATGATAATTCAAAATAAAATCGAAGTCATCACATTTTCTTGTAACTTACATAAGTAACGGTAACATTATGATTTTTTTTTTATTTCTAGAGAAAGAATGTACGTAAATATCATGTTGATTAGCTAAATTAATAGATTGATGAATTTATTTGTGTGAAATTTTAAATTTGTTTTGACAAAATGAATATGCTTTAAACCAAAAGTTGCTGAATCTAACTTTTTTTCTCAAGTAGAGTTTTAATGTTTATATCTGAACGTACGTAAACATACTATGACTAAAACCATATACTCTAGCACATAAGCTAGTCAAAACACTTTGTCACCGTGGCGATTTTGATTCCCGTTAAATTATGAAGATAAAAACCTAAAGAGATTTAATCTACATTCAAGTGTGACTTTTATTATAATAATGACCCTTACTCCAACTCCAGTTGAATACTGAGTGTTACGGATATAGTACACCCAGGGCCTCGAACTTTTTTCTTCATAATGTTTGAGAAGTTGATCGTAAACCTAACAACACTACATTGTGAACAAGTTAAGTAAAAACAAAATAATTCTCGGAACTCGACAAGCGGAAAAAAAACCGTAAAATGAAATAATGTGTTATGTAATCTTATGACAAAAAAAGAAACTGTTTATTGGAGTTTGAACAGATAATAATGGGTAGGTTTCCTAGGGGCCGCTCAGTTTCTGAATGACCCTATTAGCTGCTAAGAAGAAATAAGAACGACCCTGAATTTACGTTCCGTAAACAGTCACGATGAGTCACACTGGTCTCCGCTTCTTACCAACAGCTAGTAATTTGAAATAAAATTTTAATTGCCATAAAATAATAAATTATTGTTCAAAAAATATTATTTTGCCATCACAGTGTTGATAAAGTATTATACTATCATGTGAATAACTACAGTAATCACTAATAATAATAGTAATTGTACAAATGCACAATAGATAATATGTTAGTATTTACGAGGCTACAATCACCAGCTGTTCTCGGTGACGCGTTGAGTGTTAAAGCTCATTCTGTGGTTAGGTGATTTTCGGAAGGAGGGGAGGATTATCAGGGATAGTACTTCCAAAATCGTTGATGTCCACACGCGTAAATATGTAAATACTTTATACAGAGTCAACGCCATGCGTGTTCAACGTGATAACGTTTATGATGGACGATATTTAAGCCTTGATCAGTGCTGGATGTGGATAACGGTATTTCTGGTAACGAAGACCTGAAGTGACTGCTGGCACATAATTTTTATTTGTGAGTCTAGACCCAATGACACTGTCCACTCCATCAGTAACTATATGTATCAATTGAAGATGAGTGTATAAGAACTAAGTCCAATTAGACGTCCAATACAAATAAGATGGATACAAAGGTTGTCGTAAAGAATCCAGATAACCAGCAGCTGTTAAGATAACACATACAGTTTGATATTTTACATTAATCACCTGATAAATTTAATATTTTTAAATAGGATCTTTTGGCTTGAGAAATATAATATTTTTATTAATATTAATGTTTTATAATTATTTTCCAGGTGATGGTAAATATTTACTGAGTTTTTAATTCATTGATCTTTGTAATTTATATTTGTTTGACAATTTCTGAGTAAATTTACATAAACAATATGTCTTTTCTCAAAGTTGTTTTTTAATCAATTATAAATCATAGATAATGAACATTTAAAAACTAGATTTTATAAAGTCTATTGATTATGGGTGGGGGTGACCTCTCCCGAATGTATGTGTTATTAGGTCAGCTTCAGCTACATTGTTGTTTAGCTATAATTCTAATTTTCGTTAATCGGTTTTTCATTGCGATTCCGATAACATTTTCAGTTTGATATTATAATCTCTCCGATCTCACTTATACAAAATTATAATTTTTAACTCTATGTCCTTCAAACATGTTTTGATTCTGCAAAATTGTTGATGCGTCTGAGCATGGTGGATAATGCCTTTATGAGTATTATGAATTACGAAGTTTTTTTTTAATTGTATAATGATTGTGATAGTTGTGGCTTACAAAGTAATAAAAAGTTAGCTAAGAATAAAATGTTTAATGAATTTATTAATAAACTATGAAATTACGATACAAATAAGATCCAATTCAGATATGTTGTTTTCTATATATAGCTAATAAATTTCAAATTTGGTCTCCTACTGAGCATTTTGTACATTTATTGAGAAATTTTCAAATAAATCACTAGATTTGCTTCTTTAATACTACCATATTATGAACAATTTATAATTATACTTATAAATTACTACTTACTTTGTCTTTTCTGTCTAGCTCAGAATTATAACGAAACGAGTATGTAGTTTTTATTTTGATTAATAATTTTATTTTATTCGTATTTTTTATAGCATTAGATAAATCAATCATGTGCATTTAGCATAACATTCCAATGTTAATATTACATCAAATATAGTTTAAATAGTTTGAGGAGGTAAATTTTCTAAGAACTATATTAATTCTAAGGGTTTAAAAAACTGTAAGCTACTATTTAGTGTTTACTAATTGTAAAATTTCAATTTTAGTCTTAATAATCACGTTGTCACTTACTCAATGAGTAATACTTATCATTATAAATTCCGTCCAGTTAGGGGTGACTTACGCATTGTTTGGTATGCCCATTATTATAATTGTAAAATAAAACATATTCACTTTCTGTAACATGTTGACTCTTTGTTGTTAACAAATAAAACGAATTAGATAACTATAAATAGAACCAAAATGTTAATATGCACCTATCAATATTTGAATCATACGTTACGATTGGATTCTAATTGTTCTAGTTAAACGAACATGTTTAATGTAGCATTTGTTTATTATTTTTATGAGTATAAAAAAAAAATTATATAAAAATTATATAAATTATACATATATAATATTAGCGTACGGAATCGTCAAAACAAAACTAAATTTAAAATGATATTCACTTGGTATTATAAATTAAATATAATTAATAAAATGAAATAAACAAGGAAATAAAACAGAAAAGATGTTTCTAATATTTTACGTTAAGTCCATTATATTATATAGTTGATATTACATTAATTTTACATGTTTATAATTGATGTTTTAGATAAAGTACTAGGGAAAAGTACGTTTGTATTATATTTTATTTCATTTTGTGTAAAATGTATTTATAACCGTTGATTTGTTCATTTCCCACCACACTATTTCTGAAAATATGCGTTTAAATACCTACTCTTATGTTTATCTAATTTATGATTTCCTTTTGATCCAGCATGGAGCAACGGTCAAAATGCTAAAACAAATTTGGTGCATCAAATAATTTAAATACATGCTAATTTTGAGTTGAATATTTGGCTTAGCTATATATATTATGTTAATGACTGAGTTATTAGCATTACTTAATTCCATTAAAAAGTGACCTGAAAACTTAAAAAGATGTTTTGTTTGTATTCGAAGTATAGAAATACCAATTTCTTAGTATTTTTTTTTATTAAATTGTTATTGATAGTTGACTACTAAAATAGTAAACGTATACAGCAATATAAATAGGATAATTCCGTTATTCTTCGAATGAATGTTGGAATTCTGTTATCATTTTTCACTTGTGTAGCAGAGTACTTCATTGTATGACATAATAGAGTAAATAGATATAAGAAAATCAATAGGAAACTGTTTATTTTTACAGAGATATCTGTAGCATACTTACATTATATCCAGAGAAGTATGTATAGTTTTTGTATAATAATATTAATTTTTATGGAGCTGACTTTAAGAAATAATGTAATTATTTAGCTAAAACTATTCTGTCGTACATCTTTTCGTTATCAGTTTTTTCTTTTTTTATACTGTTTTTGAAAAATGTACGCTGTTTTTCGTCTTTTTGACCTTTTTACTCTAGTCGTGGAGTTTGTTCCTTTAATATTCGAGGATAAGCAGTTTGTACTTAAATTTGGTTCGAATTTTTCAAAATCATATTTACAAACCGACTATCTTCGAATCAGTCAGTCTTCCTAGAGTTTTTTTTTTTTTGCATTTCAATATTGCTTTATATTACTGTATATATTTTTAACAGAGATATCAAGGTTTAATTATTAAGAAGCATAATATTGACATCTCAGAGATAATTTTGTAATTATTTGCAATAAGCGGCGCATTCAAATTGGATCCCGGGTACTTGGGTTAAATCGCAGGTACCACACAAGTTAGGTCCAGGATTATTTCAATCCAAACAAAAAATATTGTCATTGACATTGATCATCTATATTTTTTGTGATGCATTTTTTTGTTATTTTCCTGAACCTTGTGAACTTGGTAGCACAACATTAGCAGACATCAGCACAAGCAGTCAACAAATTTGTTGGTGGATTGTTGGACATTGATGGAGAACTCTCCACATTTGTTGGACATTATTTTAACCGGGGGACCAATTTTAAATTTTGCGCTGCCAAGTTCACGCCAGCAGCGCAACTTTTTGATGGAAATTTTTTTTTGCTAAACATTTTCATCTCGATTTGTTGGACAACTCAAATTTCAAAATATTTTAACTTGTGTTGAACTATAAATAGTCATTTTTAATTTTTCGATGATTATTTATTTTTTTAAACTAAAGTTGATAAAAATATTTGCTCTGTCAAACAACTTGTAAATATAATACGAGGTTTCTCATAAGTTGTTGTTTATGGAAATTAAAAAAAAAATTGACCTTTAATCCATAATAGTTTATTTATGATCGTTTAAACTTAGAATTCTTACAAAATTCATAAACATCTCAAAAATTAGCAAATTATGCTTCGGATATATTATCGGATATCCTTCGTACAGTTTTCAGACAAGTGCTTAACATCACTCGTATATTAATAATTTATAAGATATGTTGAAATAGC